CTTACAGTCAGGCCAATCTTCCTAATACTGCTAAAATAATACAACTTAATTTGCTTTTTGGCAATGCCATGAAGAAATAATTGTGAGCATTACAAAAAAAAAAACTTTAAAAACTTCAAATAATTGAAAACCACTATTTTACTCAAACCTCAACTTAATTTTTTCCTCTTCATGATAAAAATATCCAAACTTCTTTTTAAGGAGATTTAAACAATTATTTTCTCTGGATTCTCTAGTTTTTGACCTTTTTTTAGTTTTCAGTAATTAACATGTCCTGTATAGATTAGACTATAATATAGATTATTACCTTTACAGCGTTTGTCAATAAACTTTAGCATGGCTGCATTTATATTTATCTAGGATAGGTGATATTGGTAATTGAAAAACAAAGATAAAGTTTCATGGCTGCAAAATGCTTACAGAGGAGTGTAGATATTCAGACATGTGAAGATTAGAGGTGGAGGCAATACTATGCAAATTTAAAAAGAAGAAGAAAAAAAGGAAGGGAGGAGAGGGAGGTGAGGAAGAAAGGAAAGAAGAGACTTGCTTGCCCTTGGAAGAATTCATAATTTAATTCTGGAAAACACAGGCAGAATTAATTATAATTTAAGGCAGACTAGGCCCCATTATATAATATGCTAGGTATGAATAAATATGCCTGGGAACATGAGGAAAAAAGATTTCCATTTTTGAGGAGCCATAAAAGCTTAATGGAAATAGGCTCCAGCAGTATCATATCTGATATGCCTTACTCCAACCTTAAAGCAAGGAAAAACCACAGAGATATGTGAATTATAAATTCATATGTGGATATTCTAGGCCTTTTGCAATTCAGAGCAACACAAGACTTCTAATAACAATTTCCACCTTGGACTCAATCAGATGAGAACTCTTTAATTTTCCCATCATCAAATCTATATCTGAACATCAGTTTCTACCTATGTGCCTATGAGAAAGGATTAAAAATCCCTTGTTTTAGGCCAGTTTATTCATTAGTGTTCAGGGTTATAGTCCCTTTCACTTTTTTAAGGACTTGAGTCCAGCAGTTACCCGCTTCGTGGCACATTATCAACTTTGCCATCACCACTGAATTGTTCCCATCGGCAAATAGATATGCTTTCATACTGTCCATCTAATATTCCCCTTCAGCTCCTGCTTCTCTGCTCCTCAGTCAAAATGTCTTAGAAGGATACCTGTACAGTCTCTGCTTCATCGGTTCTCATTCTATCTTCAACCCACCTCAACTGCGCTTTTGTCTCTGCTGCTTACTGAACCAGCACTCATCAAGGTAAACCAAAGGACATCATCTTGTTAAATATAATGGTCAATTTTCTGTCCTCATTTTACTCGTTTTTTCAGTAGTGCATGACAGTTTATCACTCCTCTTTCCTGAGATGCTGTCCTCTAGGCTTCTCTGCTATACCCTTCCCAGGATCAGAGCCTCATGCATTCAGCTATAGTCTCCCATCTGGTGATCTTATCCAATCTCACAGGTTAAAAAAATATGACTATACTTTTACACAATGGAATACTACACTTGGCTCTAAAAAAAAAAAAAAAAAAAAAAAAAAAAAAAGAACGAACTCTTACTTTTTGTGACAGCATGGATGGACCTGGATACTATTATGGTAAGTGAAATAAGCCAGTCAGAGAAAGGCAAGTACTATATGATTTCACTTACATGTGGATTCTAATGAACAAAATAAACTAACAAAATAGAAACAGATTCATAGGTACAGAGAACAGACTGACAGCTGTGAGAGGGCAGGTGGCTTGGGAGGCTGGGTGGAAAAGGTGAAGCAATTAGGAAAAAACAAACAAACAAAAACCAAAAAAACCTCTTAGACACAGACAACAGTATAGTGATCCCCAGAGGGAATGGGGAGGGGGTTGGAGGATGTAAAAGAGGCTAAAGAGGGGATAAATGGTGATGGGAGGAGACTTGACTTGGGGTGGCAAACATGCAATACAATATACAGATGATGCATTATAGAATCATACACCTGAAACATAATTTTATTAACCATATCACACCAATAAATTTCATAAAAATTAAAAACCTTTCTGAAAAAGAAAATAATATGACTTCTTCCCTGAGTTCAAGACTCACATATCCACCTTCCTACTTTATAGCAACATTCATACTGAAAACTTCACTCCTAATAAGTGCTCCCCCCACTTTGGGATCCCATTAAAAGTCACTACTAGCATCTGTAATATTGCTGAAAGTAGCAACGGGGAAGTTATTCTTAATTCCTCTTTCCTTTACTTATACCACATCCAGCCCATCACAAAGTTGTGTGGAATCTACTTCCAAAAAACATCCCAAATCTGTCCCTCACCTGCATCTTCATCATCACCAATGTTAAAAACAATTCAACAAGCAGGCCATCAGACCAGAGCAGCTTGAATGCCTACATAAGCAAACTCTTAAACATGAACAATAGGAAGACACAATTTTTTTTAAAAAAAGAATGGGCAGAGGATTTGAACAAGGCATTTCTCCAAAGAAAATACACAAATGGCACATCAAAATTGCTCAACATCATTAGTTATTAGGGAAATGCAAATCAAAATCATGAGATATCACTCCCACCTATTATGATGGCTATAATAAAAATGAAAAAACAACACGTGTTTAACAAGGATGAGGAGAAATTAGAACCTTTATTCATTGCTGGTGGGATTCTAAGATGGTACAGCCACTTCCATTCCTCAAAATGCTAAACATAGAATCACAAGATGAAATTCTAAAATGGTGCAGACACTTTGGAAAACTGGTAGCTTCTCAAAATGCTAAACCGAGTTATCATAGGACCCAACAATTCCAATTCTAGATAAATTCCCTATAGAAATGAAAACACATGCTCCCACAATAACTTGTGCATACATGTTCACTGTAGCACTATATTTAATAGCCAAAAAGTGGAAACAACCCAAATGCCTATAAACTGATAAATCAGTAAACAAAATATAACATATCCATATAATCGAATCTTAGTTGGCAATAAAAAGTAGTACTGATACATAATACAAATGAAGGAACTTTGAAAACATTAAGTTAAAGAAGCCAATTACAAACAACAACATTTTGTACAATTTCATTTTAAAGCACCCAGACTAGGCAAATCTACAGAGAAAGAAAGTACATTAGTAATTGCCAGAAGTTTGAGCCTCTCTCTCTTTGCCTGTCTCCTTCCCTTCTTCTTGTGTGTGCATGTGTGCACACGCGCGCCCAGAAATAAAGAACAACTACTAAAATAAATGGGCTTTCTTGGTTTCTTTTTGGAGGGAATTCAAAAGCTCTATAATCAGATAGTAGTGATGGTTGCACAACTCTGTGAATACGGTAAAACCAGCGAATTGTACACTTTCAAAGGGTAAACGTTCTGATATGTGAATTATCTCAGTAAGACTGTTACTTAAAAGAAAATCTAAAGACACGAATGAGGTTAATCTTTCCAGACCTCGATTAACTTGCAAATATACCATATTTTCAATGAGCATTTATTCTACTTTTGTCAAAAAACAGGGATACCAAGATGAATAACATATCACTCTACCCTCGGGGAGTTTCTAAACTGGCAGAGAACATTCTCCATAAAGCCTGCCAAACATGTGCAGAACACTACACTCTGGACAGAGAGCATTACAAAAGAAGGGTACACCGTATATTTGTTAAAATAAAAATCGCTTTGAATTACTAATCAGAAAATAAACAATTTTTATATACTATGCACACTTAGGAAGATTAATAATCTTGGAGCTACAATCATTACACCAATCATTGCTATCAGGAACAAGTTTCCTGACCATCTGCAGCCCAAATCAGAATACAGCATGTTCTCTTTTTTTCCTTTGTCTTCCTTCCCCTTGCCTATATTCCATATCCTGTTGACTTGTGATAATCAGGTAAAAAAGTGATTGGTTCTGACTGATACTGAACAGCTCAGGGATGGGGTAAGCCCAGCGTTTTCTGACATGTTTCCTCCCTAAGATGCCCCATGTAGAGACAGCAGCTTACTTACTTGCGTTCCCAGTGCCTGCCACATAGTAGTAGGTGTTTACTGAGTAAAAAAGTATTCCCGCTGAATAGACATTATATAAAGCAGTCTTCGAACATACCAACACCATTCTCATTCTTTCCCTTCTGGGTATCTCACCCTTTTACTCTGTGACACATACAGTAAAATTTGATAAATGAGAAGATGTCTAATTATTTAACTTAATTTTGGGAGTGGACAGAAGACAAAAGGAAAGGCTGAACATGTGGTACCATTCCAATTCTTATACATTAAAATGTATTTTTTTTAACTGAGTTAAAGGTTGTTCATAAAACACGCTTGCTTGTAAAAGGAAGAAAGCTGCTGTGCCAAAAGCATCTCAATACAATTTAGCTGAAATTATTGAAAATTCAAGATCTATTTTGTATACTTCTATGTTTAGATTAACTTTGAGGTCGTGGACAAGTCACTTAACCTTAATAAGTCTCAGACTCCTCCTTTCTAAAACTGGAATAATAATATCGAACCTGTCTCTCAGGGTTGTTATAGAGTTAAATGGGAAAAAAGTGTGAAATGCTGCTTTGAATGCCAAAAGCATTATCAGCATAATATCATTGCTATTTACATGCAGCTTGCAGGCACTCACAGCTTATACAAGTTACTCAGCAAACAACCACTGAAACTGTACTGGTGTCTCTTCTATGAGGTATCCTGTAATATTTTTTCAGAAAATAAAATGACCTTGTTGTTCCTTTACTGAGACTATATACCAATCACTTACTATTCTTAAATCTAAAAAAATATGAGGAGGCTACCAAAATTCTCAGGTCCCAGTGATATAATTCCTTGATAAATTCAAGCTCAAATAAGGAAAATGTCAAATTAACTTTTGTAAAAGTTCTATGGAAATCTATGAATAGTACATTTTAATTCTTTGGTGCATCACAATGTAAACTATCTTTTAAAGATAACTTCTTGGTAATAAAAACTACTTACCTTTGCAGCACAGGCTCGCATCACCTCCTAAAAGGAATATAGTAAGTAATTAATAATTTCATCTTAGTAAAATATCAACTCTTCAACAGTCAGATGTTAATATTTTAATAACCAAAATATACATTTGGGAGAGTTTATTTATTACCCTGAAGTTGCCACTATATTGTTTCCAATGAGCTGAGAAAACTTTAAGTTAAGAAAGATTCACTGACGTATTTTTGGTAAATCTAACTTGCTGAAACAAAACGCACTGATAAACGAGACTCTGGAGAGCCCATGTGTAACCACCTCAAGGAAAATGTGTCTCCTCAATAAACTTAGTATAAATGCTAACATTCTGTACCAGAACACTAACATGTCTAAAAGTCATATCCTGAAGTGAATGAAGTATATAATTATCTCCATAAGTAAGCACCATAAATATAATTCCCATATTAATAGTGTATTTCAGAAGAAATCTAATACTAACACTTCTGAATGGTAAAGTATATGACCAGCTCTGAAGGAGCTACAGAAAGGAGCTGCCTACAGTTCATGGAGCAAGGCCAAGAAAAGATCACTTTTGAAAAAGAAACTTCTAAAAAACACCCAGTATATAAGGTGATTTCAAAATCTGCTACTGAGACATATCAAAGTACTCAAGTCTATTAAGGTGAGCCAGCATATATCATCAGCCTAGTATAGAACTACAGAAAAATAACAATGTGGAGCTTAGGGGAAAAAAAGAGAACAGGAAAGAGGAACATGAATGCTTTTATCTAGAAAATTCTAAGGGCCAGATACTAAGTCTAAAGAATCACTAAAAGGAGACAGCAGAATTGACTATGGTTTTGGGATTCTGATTGCTGGCACGGCACCTCGGCTCCAGGGCTTACCGTCTCTGTGACCTTGGCAGTACTGCCTTATCTGTGTAAGCCTCGACTTTGTCTTCTATGAAATGGGGTATTACCAGCACCCACGTTACAGGACAGGTTGGAGGGTTAACTACAATGGACATGTAAAGTGTTTAGCACACTGCCCAAAGTTCATGAGGTCAGTTATTATTCATCATTAAATATGCGTAGCTGTTAGTGTCCATCTATCATTATAAGGTGAAATCTCTGGTGACGTAAAAGGAAATTAACATTTTCCAAAATAGGCAATCAATATTTTAAAACCCATCTAATCCCTATTCCTATGACTCTGCTTAACAATCAACACTGTGGTCACTAACTTGGGTTTCTGGTTCATTTTAAAGAGGGAAATGTTCTGAGTGTTCAGGCAGCTGGTGCCTCAATGTAGTTCCTCGTATGTTTGGTTTAAAACTGGTCAAAAAAAATGGTCAAGCTATCAAAGGAGGAAGGAAAGGGATATTATTATATTAAGTGCCAGGCACAGTGCCAAAAGGTGAGGACACAACAAAGCACAAGCCTGCACAGCTCCTGTCTTTAAGGGGTTCAAGGCTAATTCAGACTAAAAGAACTATTATGGTTCAAGAGTATAAATATTTTTAAGGAGGCTTAAGCTTCTCAATAATTTAACACTTATTTTTTATTTTAATATTTTTCTTTTATTTGTTGCAGAGGGAGGGGAAGGGAGGAGAAAGAGAGGGAGAGAAACATTGATGTGAGAGAGAAACATCAAATCAGTCGCCTCTTGCACGTACCCCGACCAGGGACAGAACCTGCAACCCAGGCATATGCCCTGACTAGATATCAAACTAGCTACCTTTTACTTTGTGGAATGACACCCAACTGAGAGACACCAGCCAGGGCTTACCATTTTTCTTTGAGAAAGATTTGATAGTCATTTATCTCTAACAGTATACCACACTAATTTTAACCAAGCATCCTCCTCCTCATTGTCACTGTCTATTTTCCAGTTGTATAGGCAATAACTGGTTTCTGGAGACTTCTTTTCTTAGTAGTGAGACAGAACTTTTGAATATGTTTATGACACATTCATATCTACTCTTTTTGGAAGTACTTTTTTTTATACAATTCTTTGTTAAAGTATTTTCTCTTTATTGTTTACTTTCTGCATACTAAGGTCGTTCCTAACTTGGTACTGGGGGCGGTGTGTGGGGGGGTGGGAGGGTGGGTGGGTGTGTGTGTGTGTATGTATTTTTAAACAAAGAAACAGGTCCTGGATTATCCTAAATTTAGACTGTTTATTGAAGCTAGTGATTTTAGAACAAGTACTAGAAAGGAACTATAAGAAAGCCTAGCTTTAAGTACACTAACTTACTTCATTCAATTAATATTTATTGGCATAACAATATAAGATAGGATAGGAATGGTTTTTAAAATTCCAACTTCTCAATTGCATAAAATAAACCTACTGTGACAGAATCGAGTCTTTGTTTCACTTGCTGCATCTTCATTGAAGGATCTTCAGTGTGGACATAGTCATCAATCTGAAAAGAGCCTTGTGGAGGCAGTTTAGGACAGGTGCATAAAGCATCTCTACTTTGGTGTATTCCAGGGAATGGCAACGTCCCATTGTGGCGTTTGAACATTTCAGCCTCCTGCTGGGCAACTGGAAAAATGAATCTGTTATTAGTTCAAATCATTATAGCAAGAGTATAATGAAATAATTAAGCCACAAAACTGTAGCACTCAATAAATGATAAGGAACTGCATAATACATTTCAAATTCTGAGTAATAATAAGACAACACAACTGGAAAAATGTAAAATTATTAAGTACTCTAAAACCATAAAGAAGAAATAATAATTTCACATCAGTTTTATAATTGAGCCTTGAAGGCCATACATATCTTGGTCTGGTAAATATAACAAATTGGATGGGAGCCTAAATTGAAATATATGTGTATATAAAAAATAATATAAAAAATCAGAGGCATAATTAAGAGAATATTCAAAAAATAAAAATAACTATTCATGAATCCATTTCTCTAAAACAAAAAGGTAAAACCATTTCTAAACCCTTCCTAATCTTTATATATACATACATTTTATATAAGATATCATGATGTAAATGTAATTTAACATTTAAAAAATTTAAATGCAAACACTTTTCATATTTACACAGCAATGTAACTATCATTTTTAATAGCTTTACAATATCACATCTAATGAAGCACCAATATTTATGCATCCTACTATTATTAAATATTTACAATGCTTTCTGCTTTCCCTCTTTACAGGTCATGTGTAAGTCCTTCATAATTTAATTTTTTTCTTAAGTAATTCCTTCCTTGGATTTAATTAATAGAGTGAAATAGATGACTCAAAGGATGAATGTTATTGATGACGACGATGATGATGATGAAGACAACACCATTTGAAGTGCACTTTATGGCTTTTAGGACGCTTCAATATATACTATCTCACTGACCATTCAAAATATGTGAATTTGAATTTTTCCCCCCCCCCCTTCCCCCCCCCCCTCCCCTTTTTTTTTTTTTTTGTTTCGAGGTTAGGGGAGGGGGCCTATCTTTTTTTTTTCTTATTATTCCTTTTTTTTTTTTTTATTTTTGATCTAATTTTTTGCGGCTTCGCCCTTTCGTTTCTTTTTCTTTTGTTCTTTTTACTTCTATGGGGGGACCGGAAAATTTTAAATGTCTGTATATACAAAGGAGAAAAATATAAAGTAACCACTTAAAAATGATTTCCTAATTGTTATTGGTCTATTCAGGCTTTGTGCTTCTTCTTGATTCAGTTTTAGAATTCAGTTATGTTTCTAGAAATCTGTCCATTTCACTCAGGTTGTCAAATTTCTTGGCGTACAGTTGTTTGTAGTAATTTCTTACAATCCTTTGCATTTCTGTGGTATCAGTTGTCCATTTCTCCTCTTTCGTTTCTGATTTTATTTATTTGGGTCCTCTTTTTTTCTTAATGAGTCTTAAGGCTTGTCAATTTTGTTTACCTTTTCAAAAAACCAGCTCCTGGATTTATTGATCCTTTGATTTGTTCTTTTAGTCTCTATGTCATTTAAGTCTGCTCTAATCTTGGTCGTTTTTTTCCTTCTACTTGCTCTGGACTTTGTTGTTGTTCCTCTAGTTCTTGTAGATGTAAGGTTAGGTTAATTGAAATTTTTCTATCTTTTTTAGGTAGGCCTGTATTTCTATGAACTTTCCTCTCAGAGCTGCCTTCATTGTGTTCCATAGCTTTTGGGCTGTTGTGTGTTCATTTTCATTTGCTTCCAGAAACTTTTTAATATCTTCTTTGATATCATTCATTATTTAATAGTGTGTGGGAAGGAACGCGTTGCAGGGAGCGGGGGACACTCCTGGATCTGAGGGTTACTGTCCAGAGCCAGATGAAGAGGGAGCGGGGCTCTGCATCCTGGGGTTGTCACAGATGGAGGGGAATAAACACGAGTCGTCACACACACTTCTCTGTTTGCCAGGAGAAAGGGACATGGCTCTTGCCTCTAGGGGAGAGAAGGCCCCGAATTCCCATGTCCAAAGGCTTTTATTGAAAACCGTATGCGTGGGATATACAGAAATGCTCATCAATCGATGTCAAAAGGCTATGTTTACAGAAAACAAAGAGACAACTGAAGGATCACAAGAGATCTGCCTCAGGTCAGGGTCTATGAATAATGTAAATCTCCTTCCCAGTATGAGCCAGTTATCATTGCTTTTGAGGGAAGAACAAGCATGCTTAGAGGAACTCACTTCTGGGCCTGATTGTCCCAGAAACCACCCTATCCAGTTTCGGGTGGCACCTGCCTGAGCCAGGTGAGTGGGGCAGAGCTACCGATAGATAAGACTTCTTTCAGATAGAATGAGGACTCAGGCCATGTCCAAGCCAAGCTGAGGGGTGCAGGCCTTTCTGCCCTTTCTCCGTGTCCCCCAAGTCCTTGTCTGCTGCACATACCGGCCAATGTCTGGCTTAGGTTGTCCCTCCTCTTGAGAGAACTTACCCGTCATGGATCACTGACCATCACAGGACCAAGCAGGGGGATACGAGGGGCACAGGTTTCATCTCCTCAGTGGTCTATTTTCCCAAGGCCTCCTTGATTATTTCCAGCCTTGGGGCCCTCTCGCCTATCGGGCAGACTACAGTTCCTGAAACCAGATGGGGCATTTCCAAACATAATAGCATGCTATTCAGCCTCCATGAATTTGAATGTTTTTTCCATGGCCGCCCCCCATCCCCGAGGTTGATTTCTAGTTTTAAGCCATTGTGATCTAAGAAGATGCTTGATATAACTGCAATTTTCTTGAGTTTGTTGAGGCTTGTTTTGTTACCTACCACATGACCTATCTTTGAAAATGTTCATGTGCATTTGAAAATAATGTATATTTTGCTTCTTTGGGGTGAAAAGTACTGTATATATCAATTAAGTCCATTTGATCTAGAGTATTGTTCAAAGCCACAATATCTTAGTTGATCCTTTGCTTGAAAGATCTATCCATTGTTGACAGTGGGGTGTTAAAATCCCCTACAATGCGTGTGCTGTTATTGATATCTTTCTTGAAGTCTTCCAAGATTTTCCTTACATGTTCTGGTGCTTCTATATTGGGTTCATATATGTTTACAAGGGTTATATCTTCTTGATGGATTGTTCCCTTAAGTATTATATAGCGTCTTCCTTTGTCTTTTTTTATAACCTTTGTTTTAAAATCTATTTTGTCTGATATAAATATTGCTACCATAGCTTTTTTTCCAGGTATGTTTGCTTGGAATACTTTTCTTTTTCCATCCCTTCACTTTCAGACCTTGTAGATCTTTTGTTCTGAGGTGAATCTCTTGTAGACAGCATATATGTGGGTCATGTTTTCTTATCCATTCAGCCACCATATTTTTGATTGGAGCATTTAATCCACTTACATTTAACGTTATTATTGATAGATACTTATTCATTGCCATTTTTCCCCTTGTTCTTGTGCCCTCCCCTCTTTCTTCATTTTCTTAAAGTAGCCCCTTTAGCATCTCTTTCAAAGATGGTTTGGTGAAGATGTGTTCTTTTAGCCTTTTTTTTTTTTTTTTTAAATCTGGGAAGCTCCTTATTTCACCTTCCATTTTAAGTAAGAGTCTTGCTGAGTAGAAATGAAACTAGACCACCAACTTACACTATACACCAGAATAAACTCAAAATGGGTAAGAGACTTAAACATAAGCCACAACACCATGAAAGTCATAGAGGAAAACACAGGCAGTAAAATTTCAGATATCCCATACAGCAATATTTTTGCTGATACATCCTCTAGGGTAAGGGAAATAAAGGAAAGAATAAATAAATGGGACTAAATCAAAAAGTTTCTGCACATCTAAAGAAAACATCATAAAAATGAAATGAGAACCAACCATATGGGAAAACATATTTGCCAAAGATATCTTGGACAAGGGTTTGACTTCCAAAATATAAAAAGAACTCATATGACTTCCAACAGGAAGACAACAATCCAACTAAAAAATGGGCAAAGGACCTGAACAGACACTTCTCCAAGGAGGACATACAGAGAGGACCTATGGCATATGAAAGGATGCTCAACATCACTAGCCATCAGAGAGATGCAAATTAAAACCACAATGAGATACCACTTCGCACCAGTTAGAATGGCCACAATTAAATCAACAGAGAACAAGTGCTAACGAGGATGTGGAGAAAAGGGAACCTTAGTACACTCTTGGAGGGAATGCAGACTGGTGCAGCCACTGTGGAAAACAGTATGGATTTTCCTCAAAAAACTAAACTTGGAACTGCCTTTTTATCTAGCAATTCTACTGCTGGAATCCCAAAACACTAATTCGAAAGAACCTATGCACCCCAATGCTCATAGCAGCATTATTTACAATATCCAAGTGCTGCAAACATCCTAAGTGCCCATCAGTAAATGAGTGGATCAAAAAACTGTGGTACATTTACACAATGGAATACTATGCAGCAGAAAGAAAGAAGGAACTCCTACCCTCACAACATCATGGATGGAACTGGAGAGCATTATGAGTGAAAAAAGTCAGGCAGTGAAAGACAAATACCATATGATTTCACCTAGAGGTGGAACCTAATCAACAAAACAAACAAATGAGAAAAATAGAAACAGAGGTCTGGAAACAAGGAACAGACTGACAGGAGTGGGGTAGGGGAGATAGGGATAAGGGAGGAAAGAAGGGAAAGGATCTAGTTAAAGAACAAGTATAAATGACCAATGGACATGGACAATAGGGTGGGGAATGACTGTGGGAGCAGGTGATAGGGCAGAGGACAGCAATGGGGGAAAACTGGGAGAACTGTCACAGAACAATAAAAAAATAAAATCAAAATGATTTATTTAATTATATAATTTTAAATGAAAGGTATTTCTCAACATGGCAAGAAAAGAAATTAAACAAAGATTCACAACATGTAATCAACAGAAGAGCCTTCAAAGATTCTGTAGACTACTGAAGTTACATACAGAAACATGAGTGTGTATTTGTAAATGTTTCTGGAAATCAGATCCATAACTTTTACCAGATTAGCTATCAAAAAATGGCATGAATCAGAAAACATAAAGAACCATCAACAGTTAAGCTGAGTTTCACTATTTAGTGGTATTCTCTTACTCCATATGTTTTTGTA